CGCTGTGCCCTAGGAGTTTGGATACCGGCGCCGCAACACAGCCCAGCATTCGCGCTCCACGTGTGTATGCCATGACGCGCTCCGCCAACTCCCGCGCCAGCGATATGCTCAGCTCAATGTGGATCTGACGCTTAGCTAACCCGGCCTTGCGTAACACATCTGCCTTCCCCCCCCCTGAGCACAGTGCTGAGTGCATTGCCAACTCCTTAACAAAAAGGCTTGTCTGCTTGCCCAGCCGTCCGTACGACTCCTGCACGAATGGCACAAAAGCCCAAGATGACGTCAAGGTGCCGGTGTGGTGCTTGACCTTCGCGTCCTCCCCCACCCCAGCAGCATAGCCGTCCGTGTTCGAGGCATTTGTTTTGCCTGTCAGGTACGAGCTCGCTGTGGGTGCGCGCACACTTGTGTCTAGCACTATTCCCTTGTTACGGTATGCACTGCTAAAGTGCAGACACCCTGGGTCAATGACTGTGTCCGCCCGATACCCCGGTACCTTGAAGACGCTAGCGTCCTCATTGCGGACAATAGAGACATGGTGCTGTCTCAAGATGCGCTGTAGGCACCGCTTTTGGGCAGTGTGTGTCGCGTTGTGCCCCCGTATGTGCTGGCTGGGGCAGCTGATCGCATGCGTGGAGGTGGGGCTCACGTCACTGCACCGCCATGGGCACACCTCGCCCTGTATGCCCCACCCGTCTATAAAGATCGCAACCATAATCATCGTGGCTGCTGCCATACTGGACATGGGCGCCGCACCCGGGCGGTCATTGGCAGCGGGTGGCACGCTCATCCACGCCATTGCCCCGGACGCACGCTGGCTGCGCAGCTGCGCCAGGACCCGCGCGCTAGCCTGTTGGCGGCGGCGGCTGGTGTCACGCAAGTCACCAATAAGTGTAGCCTGCGTCGGCTTGCCCACGGCACCAGCCGAGGCAGCCTCTAGGTCCTCCACCAGGCAGTCCTCGTATTGACGTCGAAGAACATTTGAAAGGCCGGCTTGTAGTCCGTGCGTGAAGTGACCGCGCCGGCGGCGGGGCACTACCTTTCTGCAGATCTCATCAGCATAGGCCTCCCAGTCGTCGTCGTCGTCCTCCTGCCCGCCGCTGCAGCTGCTTTCTTCCGCGCTAGTTTGTGTTTTAGCGGGCGTGGAAGAGGCAGCCGCGGCAGCGGCTTGAGGGCCAGGTACGGTCGCCGCCGCAGCGGCCGCCTCGGCGCCAGGCACAATGCCGTGGGTGTGTGGGGCTGGCTCAGTGGTCCCCGTCTCCGTGACGGCAGTTGCGGCGTAGATCGCTTGCACCGCAGTGGGGAGCGTCGACGCTGCGGCCGTTGTATCCGCTGCCCACCGTAGCAACGATGCTGGGAGCTGCTCGGCCACAGCTGTGCGTGATTTTTCGCCGCCATCAGCTGTCAGCGCTCGCGTAGAGCGTCGCACGGCCTCGATGATTGGCGGCAGTCCCTGGTCCTCGCGTATTGCGCATGAGTGCTGCGCGAACCAGGTGACTGCGCCGTGTTCGTCAGTGCCGAGCCTCAGGGCCCCTGCTGCCACAGTGGCATGAATTATTGCAGGCCGCAGTGTTGTGCATGCCTGGGCCGTGTATGCGGCTGGTGCCAGTAGCCCCAAAAGCGGCATGCCCAGACCGCCTCGTCGCTCCGGCAACCGTGACGCCCGCAGTGGCACTGCGATGTCCGTGAGTTCTGGCGGGCCCAAGCGCGGCAATACCAGCACGCTGCCACTGCTGGCTACCTCATTGTCACCAGCAGTGCAGGCGGCCAGCAGGTGTGACTTCATGACTGCCGCGGTAGCGCAGCCGTGCAGGTGCAGCATGCGTTCAAGCGTCCATGCACAGAACCCGTCAAATGCGTGCAGCCATGTCTCACTCAAAGCCGTGTCAACGACCCGAGCTAAGAAGCCCATGCGCTTTGTCAGTGACCTGCGCAGAATGAATTGTGCTGCCTGTAGGTGATGCCGCGCCATCCCAGCTAGCTGCCACGACAATCGCCATGTCCCTGCGTCAACAAGATGCTTGCTCATGGCAGCATGCACATAGGCTGGGTGCCCTACCGGTACCCCGACCGACGTAAAGCCCTGACTGGATTCTGGCATGGTGGCGTCCACAAACGGTATGTCAAGGGCGCGCAGGCGTGCTCTGGCCGCTTCATCAAACACTGTGCCGCGCATGGCAATGGCCAGCGACTTGTCTGGTCGAACGCGTAGGCCCCCTGCCGCAAGCCGACGGATCACCTCTGCCACCCCAGCGGCCGCTGCATCGTCGAAGTAGGCAGCTTGCAGCACGTTGAGGTCATCCAGGAAAGCGCAGTGCGGGGCTGGCGGTTCCGCTGTGCTGTGGCCGTAGGCCGGCATACTGCCGGGCGTCGCACTCACTCCATCAGGGTAGAAGAGTAGGAATGCCGCTGCCACTGCAAAGTACAGCGGCCCTAGAGGGTCCCCTTGCTGGCACCCTAGGTGGGAGCAGATAATGCGAGCTTCACCGTTCACCTCCACTCGCATCTCTGGGGCAGTGTCACCACAGTATACGGACTCAAAGTGCGGGAGCAGCTCCGGACAGAAGAGCATAAGTCCCCGCACAATGGCGGCGCGATCCACACTGTTAAATGCGTTCTCACAGTCCAGCTGGATTGTGGTGCCATACAGCTCGTGCCACACGCGCGCGCGCGCTGCCACATGCTCGACGCCAGACCGGTATCCTACGCCAAACTGCGACATGGAGGCCAGCAGCCCCGATATTTTGCCCTTGACACCCCGTGCCGCTGTGGACCCGAGGAGTCTGCGCCAGACACTGGAGCAGGCGATCGGACGCCGCTTCTGTCCTATGCCTGAGAGGGCCGCGGCGCGGAGAAGCCGTTGCGATTGCTCCGGCAGCAGTTCGGGCTCAACAAGCAGCGTCGTGAACACCTTGGCCAGGTGATGGGCGAATGCCGGTTCCATCACATCCGATTCTGAATCACCAGCTAGTCCTGGCGAGGCACTGCCCACGGGGCGGGTGGCTGCTTTCACTGGTGCACCAGGCCCAGCGGCCATCAAGAGGTGTTCATAGCGTAGGCCGTCCAGCCCTCCTGCCTTCCCCGCCCCTGCTGCGGACAAGGTCGACAGTATGTCTGTCGCCTCCACCTCGAGGCGCCGTCCGGCTGCGCTGGCAGCATCCTCAGGCCTATCGCTGCGATCATGCGCCTGACCCGATTCGAAGACGGGACTGCCGCTGCCAGCGGGCCCGGCGGTCGTTGCCACCCCTGCGCCGTGCAAGCAGTGCCGCCGGGCGTCGCGTACCAGGCCGCGCACTTGCTCCATTGGCGTATCGACTACCCCGGGCCGGGTGCCAGTTTCAGGGTGCTTTGCTGCCAGCACCTGTGCCGTGACCTCGTCTGCTGGGGCGCATGCTTCACGCGCCTCTAGTCGTGCGGCAGCCAGGCCTACCCCCCGTCGCTTGCCTGAGAGGGCAGCGCATGCTGTTTGCTGCCTGGAGTCAGCCTCCGTCCAGTCGGCATCGAAGTTCGTTTGTGCCGACGCCGTAGCTGCGTTGTTTGGTTTGGGGGCCCGCAGCGCCGCTGCTGCTGACAGCGTCTTTCTCAGTAGCTCCGCAAAGTCGCCAGACAGCAACGCTGCCAGCCGGGCCGCAGGCGGCATACCGGTTCCCTCCGGTTGCCTACCAAAGGCCATTGCTGCTAGCAGGTGCAGCAGCCTGTAGCCGCGCTGCACTAGAGTCTGAGAAACCTGATGAGCAAACGCCCCGGCACCATGGTGGAGGCGCACCCGTGCCGCCTCACGTGCACTGTCTGTGGCGTCCGCCAGTAGTCGTGTGGCGTGCTCCACTAGCCGTGCCCACTGGGTGCACTGCAGCTGAGTGCGGAAGGGGTTGGCAGTCGTGGTGAACCGTAGCAGCAGTAGATCCGCCTCATTGGTCTGGTCAAGTGCGTGGACGACCGAGGGCGTCGAGAGGTCCCAAGCCAGGGATGCTCGTGACTGGGGCTTTGAGGGCCTGCCACTGGTGGTGGTGGTCGGGGGGGGCGGTGACGCGGCATCGTCCGGCGGGTCCAAGTCCATGTCCGCCCATCCCACGGCCGTCCCGTGGGGGGGGCTGCTGTCCTGCAGCCTTAGGCTGTTAGACTGAGTGCGGCTGCCGGCGCTGCCAGGCGGTGCTGCAGCAGCTGCCGTTCGGCGCCGGCGTTGCGCGCCGGTTGCCGTGGCCGCCGGGCGTTTCTTGCTGGACTTTGAGTTGGCAGCGCCACTAGCCGGCACCGCCGGTGGCTTTGGAGGTGTCGCTGCGGCAGCCCCCGCCGCCGCGGCCGCGCCGTCGCTACCCGCACCCCCGCCCTCGGACTGGCCCGGGGGTACTGCCGGGCGTGCGCGCGTGGGGGCGCTTCCATTCCGTCGACACGTGTGGCATGGCGAGGTCAGCGCGCATTGCCTCTGCCCCGCGCTGGCTGACATATGGACCAGACCGCAGGCACCTGTGCATGCACTCAGCTTCCTTACCGCCCGTAGGAAGTCTTCTGCCGTGCAACCATACATGGTGCTCATCTCCTGCACACGCTTGGCATGGTGTGCCCCAGTGTTGCAGGTACTGCTGCCTGAAGGGGCACGGTCACCGGATGGGTCGTGATCAACCTGCTGCCGGATGCCCTTGGCGTATGCTGCCGCCAGATTTTGCTGACAGTGTGATGTGCTCGCCTCAGGGTTCAGCATCGACCTCGTGCAGCTACCACCGTTGAAGTGGGCCACTACCGGTGCCATGCGGCTCGCAGCTGACAGTTTGCCTCGCTGTTTGCTGTCCTCTTTCTGACCAAGCTGCCAAAATGCCAGTGTGCATAAAGGACACCTCAGTGGCTCAGGCTGCTGTGGCAACTGCAGCGCAGTACGGGGCTGTGTCCGACTCGGAGCCGTGATGTGGGTGCTGTTAGCTTGGCCTATGTACCACCGAGGCAAACTGAACAAAAAACAACTCCAACGAACGAATCGTTCGATCACTGTCAGCGGCAAAAGCAAGAAACGGAAGGAGCAGGGATCGAACCTGCGCAGGCAAAGCCTACTGGATTTCAAGTCCAGCCCGTTAACCACTCCGGCATCCTCCCCAGGCAGTTTGGTCGTCACTCATTTGTTACGTTCATGCTTGGCATGTCCTGAAGGTGCACTACTGCTCATCGACCTAATGCATCTCTCGTTGTGCTCTTGGAAGGATGATCCGACCCCGTCCTTGAAACGAGCATCTAATGCCATCATGTCCCTGGGCAGGGCCTAGAAGCCTTTGAAGGTGCCACCGCACTTGACATCGGACTGCTCTTGTCGCAGGTCAACTCTGTGCATGCTTAGCCATTGGTGCAAGGTGAAGCTCATCCCGCTGCCAGTTGCTGCCATAGGGGCCGAGCTCGATGGGTCATCGGACCGCATCAGTGTTACCAGGCAGACGACCTTGCCATATGCTAGTTCCCTGGCTCGGCGGCGCCGGCAGCCGGCGGCGGCGGCGGCGGCAGCGGCGGCAGGACGCGCCGCAGCAAAAGACATGGTCGCAATGAAATGAATTTTGAAGGCTGTGCTGTGTTGTAGGACTGCTGCTTTAGCACGACGCCGATGTTGCTGAAGCTGCTCTTACTCCGAGGCTCCTGCTGCTGTCACTGCCACAACCACACATGTCCTAGCTAGCTCTCATCTCCTATGTTCACTTCACTCTTAGGCAAAGCCGACACTTCTACAGTGCACTGGGGAGAACATGTGAGGTGGCTCACACATTTTTTGAAGTATTCACCATTTCGATATATCTATAGGTTTCTGCAGTCACTGTGTGGAGACCTCCCAGCCAAGAGAGCTTAAGCATGTCCAAGCATGTCCGACACTCTACTGCCGCAGCTGCTGCCCTGCATTCAGGTACGCGTGGACACCTATTGGTATTTCTGGCACAGCATGCGTGCACAGAAGCCTCAGCTTCAGCCTCACCCACAACCCACATCGACACCAATAGACTCTTGAATAGAGGTCGCTGCATAAGTCCCATGGCAGAGCTGACGCCTCGAACCATTCACGACTGTTGAGCACCGATCTGCCGGACTGTGTGTCTGCAGCACAAATGCGTCTTGAAATCAGGGTCGCCGAGCATGCCATTGGTACTACCAGTGGTATCTCTGCCAAGGGCCGCTTCACTTCCCAAGGCTTCTGAAAGTGCTTTTGGGATGTCATACCTCGTATACTTACAAGCAATGCAATTAGAATTGGTACCTTGCGCAATTGGGATTAGTACCTTGGGAACAGAGCATAGCCTAGGCTGTGAGTGTGGCAGCCTCATGCAAGCCATGCACGTCCTTCCGGGTATGGACAGCAGAGGCACGCACATGTGCAACCATTACAGCCTGCACCCGGCTGTCATTGGCGCCGTTCTGGTGTACCGGTTCTACCTCAGCAGCATGCATGATGAGTCATGTGCGTTGTGCCCACTATGCCTGTGCACACAAGAGTGGAATTCTTCCAGCTCACGAAGTGCGAGCACACACACTCCGAGCGACTCTTTCTCATTCCTCACTTTGCCAAAGACTGAACTCGTGACTATGACATTCCTCACTTTGCCAAAAACTGAACTTGCGAATATGACAGAATACACTAGAAGCCGCCCCGATCAACGCTGGCCCTGGGTTGAATCAAGGGCATTGTGTGCTTGAAGTTTGCACACAGACTCAATCACGAACGGCAGCTTCACGTCCGACTGAGTCATGTCAAAAATTTCCAATTGGCGCATTGTTCAGAATTGATTCTCTACGCGCATCGAGACACATTGTCACCTCTGGTGCTTCCAGATTCTGGTAGCAAGTTCAACCGTTGTGACATCATGTGCGCTAGCTAGAGCTTTTTCATGATGTAAGCAAACATACAACGAAAAACAACAAGCAAATACAAGGTACATGCAAAAAGGCGCGACCGCTCCGGCAGCGGCAACTGCATCAGCGGCAGGCCGCGCTGCCGCCCCGGCGGCGGCGACAATTACAGAACTACTAGCAGTGGCTGCAGGCAGCACAGGCGCTCCAGTGCCGGCCGCTGATGGCGCAGCAATTCCGGCGACACACGGCCCAGCTGCCGCTGGACCAGTGGCCGCGGCGGCAGCGCAGGCGGCACCAGCGGCAGCAGCAGCGGCAGCGCACGGCGCAACTACTCCGGCGGCAGCAGCAGCGGCGGCAGCAGCAGCTGCTCCAGCATCAGAGGCTGCAGCAGCAGCGGCAGCACATTTGCACCTCAAGCTGCCTCGGCGGCATCACTAGCTGCAGCATCCGATCTGAGTCAACAGCAGCTGCTGCGGGCGTAGGCAACATAGCTGCTCCAGGGCCTAGAGCTGCTGCAGCACCTGCAGCAGGAGCGGCAGCAGGCGGCGCCGCAACCGTGCCACCTGCGACAGCGGCAACGGCGGTGATCACAAGCGGCCAATGCGGCAGGCGCTGCACCAGCACTGCAACTGCGGCAGCAGCAACTGTTACACCAGCAGCAGCAACGGCAGGCGGCGCAGCTGCTCCAGCGCACGCAGCAGCGGCAGCCGTCAATGCACTGCAGGCGCTATGCGTTCCACACCAGCAATGCTACAAGGCGCAGCAGCGCGCGCCTGCCCTCATGTGGACGATCGCCACAGCTGCCGCATCCCTACGTGCAGCAACAGGTGACAAGCTGGAACATATGCTGCCACCAGCGCTTATGCCACTGCAGCAGCAGCCACGTGTGCAGCAGCCGCCGCCGCCAGCAGGTGGTGGCACCGGTGCGGATGCTGCTACGGTGTACTTGACGTCAGTGCTCTGCAGTTGCAGCGTGTGTGTGTGTAGCCTGAAGCGCCCCAATCAGAGTGCGCTTGCAGATGCCGTCGCTACTGAGCTTGCAGATAAAGTGGAGGCGGACCTGCAACAGCTGCCGCAGTGCACGTAACGCACGCAAGCACTTGCTCGATTCCGGTCTCAGCGCCACACGCACTCGATCGGCATGGCATTCCTCAACGAGCCCATGTACTCCACAACGGCTTCGTTCGATGGCATAGTATCCTCAGGCTGGCAGCTGGCCGTCAAACGCGCCATCGCAGTAGAGGAGCAGACGACAGGCTGCAAGCTGTGCGGGAAGTCGCCGGGCGGCACTCTGCACGCGCGGCTGTGTCAAGCGCCACGCGTCAAGGCGCACGACACCATTGTCCACAATAACAGATGAAGCATTTCACAAACATCACAAGTCCACGATCTTGTGCGCAGCGGAGGTGCGAGCAGCAGCGAGCAGCGGTGCAGCGGCGGTCAGCAGCAGCGGGCACCATGCACCTGAGAGCTGCTGCGTTGTGTTGCAGTGACAGCGAGCGACAATCAGTGCCAGCCGCGGCGGCAAGTAGCCGGGCCGCCGGGAAGTCGCAGGATGGACATCGTGCTGCCTGCCGACGCCTTCCCGGTGACCGGCTACGACGACCCGTCCCGTCACCTACCACTCATGGTGGACGTTACCTGCTTCGAGGCACAGGCGGCGTCGCGGGCGCAGAAGACTGCAGCAGACCCCGAGCGTTGCTGCCGCGACCAAGAGGCCGCCAAAACTACCCACTGGCACTATTTTGGTCATTATGATCAGGATTGTTACAAACTGACCACTTTGGCAATCGGGTCATTTGGCAGCATCGGGGAGCAGGGGCGGAAGCTGCTGGAGGCTGTGGCGACGGAGTATGCCAGCAGGATGTCAGTGCCCGGAGGAGCGCGCCCTAAAGCTTTGAGTCTTAAGGGCATCGCCCTCGTGCGCTTACGCTCGGCACTGTTGGCAGCGCTCCACATGGCGTACTCCGGCCGTGTCATGACACACATGGCAGAATTCAGAGGGGGCACATGGAGGAGGACGTAGGGGAGGACCCCGAGATGCCATTCGGCGGCGGCGGCGTTCGAGTGGTTGTCATTGAGACACTTTCAGACTGTCACACGACATGCAGATTCCGTACAGCAAGCTTCAAGTTAGATGCCATTCATCTGGGGTTATTTGCGCCCTGAGCGGAACTTCAAAAATAAAAAGTACTACTAGTATCAATGGCATGCTCTGCGACCCTGGCTGCAAGAATTTCAACTCGTCCTTTCCTTTATGTGGCAGACACACAATCCGTGCTCTGAGTCAACAGGTACCTACGTGTGAATGATTCAAAGAGTCAGCTCGGGGGGCTTGAGCAGCGACCTCTACTGGTATCGTTGTGTCTCTTGGGTGAGGTTGATGCTGAGGCTCTGTGCACACATGTTGTGCCAGCAAAACCACTCACAGGTGGGCACAGGGGGGGGGTTGCAGGGGCATTGTGGAAGGTCGGGGGGCAACACCCTGTCAGACCCTCTAGAGGGTCATCTCGGGTACATGATTTAGAGGGGTCTGGAGGGTAGGGGTTTCAGAGGGCCTGGCACGGGAGACCCTCTGGAGGGCGTATACATTGTGCAGAAGGGTTGAGGGTGTTGACGCCACCGCCTTGAGCGTGGTGTACGCCTTCTGGAAGGGCTATCCAGCAACACGTTGAGCAGGGCATACAAACATGCAAGGGCTACAGCACGACACCTTGTGACACGCCGTACAGGGCCCATTTGGGCACGCAGGCAAGGCAGAGGAGACCATGTACAAGGTAGCAATGACGAATGCAGGCCGCGCAGTGCATGCACATGTACAGCATCAAGCATGTGAGAACGCGCGCACGCATTGAGAGCGTGCGCGCTCGCAAACAGACCGTAAATGCCATGAATTCGCACAACATGTCATGTATATTTGGTGTATTGTGGTGATGTCAGCGCGCTGCTCTGTGGTGCTGCTCGTGCGATAGTTGCTCATATACATGTCGTGCATCATACTATAGTACATGGCATCTACAGTGTGCACATCATTATGTGTAACAGACACTTGAAGTACTTCTTGAAGTACTATCTGCAGCGCCGCCCCCCCCCTCCCCCCCACCCGCTAGCAACCTGTTTATATATATATATATATATATACTTTAAAGCATTGTGCTCCCCAAGCAGCATGCGCATGCACGTTGCATTGCCTCCATGCGCGTCACCGTGGCAGCTTCACCAGTATGCCCCCCTCTATCCTCCTACCCCCTCTGTGTGCGCTTGTGCCT